TGGGTCTAGATACGGCCGAGGCGGTGAGGAGGTGGGAGCAAGTTTATTCCGACGACGGAGGGACATAATGGCGAAAAAGTGCAGAAATTCCAGTGGAAAAAGGGTCCCAGCGTTCTTGCGCACCTCGCTCTTCTAGCGCGTCAAATTTCACGAGTCGTTTTCCGCAATTTCGGTCATAAAAACAAAACAAGCCGGCCTCCTGTCTGCGGCACCGTCTGCGCTAAGGATGGGACTTCCCATGCTAATGGCTTGGATTCGTTAGCAAACACTGCCCCCCTGTGGTACTTAATGTTACTATCACAAGTTGTTGAGGACTGCCCAGGAACATCGTTGGTTCTAATTACAGCCCCAGCCTGTATAAGAGTCCAGCCATTATTTACCTCCGACGACAGCGAGATCGGCCATTTTTAGAGACTTTAGACTTTAGACTTTAGAGACATTTTTAGAGTAATTGAATACAGGCCAATATTAGAGGATTTACGGTATAAAAAAAAACAAAAAAACAATTTTCTCCCCCCTCGTGGGGTGGTATGTGTCATCCTCAAGCTGGGGTCCTCTACCAGAGGCCTGGGAGTTTGAGGGTTCTGCGCAGTATCTTAGCTGTTCCTAGGACTGCGCTCTTCTGGACAGAGACCTCTGATGTTTTACCTGGAATCTGCTGTAGCCACTCTCCCAGTTTGGGGGTCACAGCCCCCAGTGCTCCAATTACCACTGGCACCACTGCTGCTCTCACTTTCCACATCTTTTCTAGCTCCTCCTTCAGTCCTTGGTATTTCTCAAGCTTCTCGTGTTCTTTCTTCTTGATGTTGCTGTCGCTTGGGATTGCCACATCTATCACTACTGCCTTCTTCTGCTGTTTGTTGATCAACACGATGTCAGAGAAGACAATATATATATATATATATATATATATATTTATAAATATATAAAGTTGTAAAAACCCTACATGTAAACAGAGTTTTATGGGGCCCCCAGGAACTTGGGGCCCAACTGCCAATTGCTCCTCAATGGGATGGGTTAGATGCAGAGGTGAATTTCTCCAGTGTGAGATCAATAAAGTTAAATTATTTTAAAGCTGGATGCTGTTCTTAAAAATCTGATAGGGAACCTTTCTGATGATTAAACAATAACAGGTAGCATTATTATTTTTTTTAAATATGCCAAAAATATCTGAGTATATGCTCTGGAAAAAAGTTTTTTGACCTCTGGTCAAGATCTAAATATGAAAACCTTGAATTAACGGAAAACAATGTTTGTCCCCTGATGCTGTTTCTAATATCACATTAAAAAAAGATGCTAATTTATTTGATTAGATAGTAGACACATCTACACCTTATGGACAAAGAACATCCTTTTGAGGATCAGAATGTTAATTTTTTGGACAAAGAAGACAGGTGGTTTGAGAGGGGCGTGAAGGAAGCCATTGTTGTGAATTTATATTCAATGTCCATGTCGCTACCCGATCCGTACCGGTAGCACGATCCGTACCATCAGTTCATTTGCGCCTGCGCGAACAGAATAACTTCCGGGTCGCCAAAAAATAATGTAATTACGGTACTGAAAAAACTTTATTTATATCCTTAAATAATTAAAGAATACTAAACTACATCGTAAAGACAATATTGAAGACTTTTCTGGAAGAAATGGATGCTTTTTAAGTTCAATCCATTGTATTGCTTGACATCATTTTTCTGGAATAAAAATCCAAATTTTCGGGAAATGTTCCCTTATCAATGAAAAACTGCAGGTCAGGAAAGGTAGCAAATGAATCCATTGTGGGATCAGTACTGCTGGAGTGCAGAGTTAAGTACAGAGTAAATCAAATATTTAAACAAATTTAAATATATACGCTGTGTGACGTATATTTGCGCATGCTCAGAGCAGTCAAAGTAACTATCACAAGGCAATTGAACTTTTTTATGTATTTCTGTTTTTTTATTTTTAGAAAATGCAATATTGACGAAAATACAAAGATATACAAAAAGAAACCCATGCCTCTAAAAAATACAAAAGAATAAAAAAGTAAGAAAAAGGAAATATTGCCACCGGAAGTTATTCTGTTTGCGCAGGCGCAAATGAGCTGATGGTACGGATCGTGCTTCCGGTACGGATCGGGTAATGACAGTCCATCCAGGTTGGACACCATATTAATGTTGTGAATAACTGTTATATTAAATTCCCAGCCAGATGGGAATTTATATTTCTGATACTTTAAGATGTTTATTGCCCTCCTCGGTAGGGGGGGTAAAATATCTTATTTAATCAGATATTATTTCGGCTGTTATATATTGTTTATGACACACAGTCCTACTAACTGTGTGTTAGAACAATTAGATAAAAGAGTGATTCAAGCTCTAATCATAGTCAAACAGTTAATTCTGCATAGACTTGGAATAAATTCACCACAACTTTGTCATGAAGCGGTGTTGGATTGAGGACCCAAAAGCAGAGACAAGTTGGCAGAGGTGAATTTAAGTGGGTTTATTAAGGTTCACAGGAACAAGGGCAGGAATCAACAAACGCACCAGAACCAAGGAGACATCAGGGGTAAACCAAAACTCTAGGAGCTAGGGAGAGACGAGGAAGGCAGGCAGAAGTTAGACGAGGATCCAGCAAACAGGAACTGAAGAGGGAGGGCTTTTAAAGGGGACAGAGACAAAGAGAGGGCTAACAAGGGGATTGGAAACAGGTGAGGGCAGAACAGAAAACAGAGCAAGGGAAAAGGGACACAAGAGGGCAGCAGAGGACAACAAATGGAAAACCAAGAAAAACAGAAACTAACAAACCAAGACTCTAACAAACTTCTGTTCAAAATATAAGAGTTTATTAACAAAAATCATTTCAGTCAAACATATTTCAATATAAAACTCTTAACTAAGACTAGTGAAACTAAACTAAACTACTATGTAAAAAGAGGAAGGGAAACATGGTTGAAAACCGCAGTGTGTCAAAAACTTGATCTCGTTTTATTGTCTTAACGACTTTTATACGGTTTAAGATGGTCTGCTGACAGGAAATATGGAAAATCACTTTCATCCTAACGTTTTTATTCACATCTTATAAATTGTTTAAGATGTGAATTTAAAATAAATAAGTCTATGTCGCAGCCCCCTCCATGGGACTCTGGAAGAAAAAAAATTACAAAAAATGACTTAGACTGGAAAAACTATCATACACTGCCAAGTGTATGCAGTGTATGATAGTTTGCACTGAAAATAATAATGCAACCACTTTTGGCATTTACTTAATCATATTTAGTTACTTTAACACAATTGATTTAGGTCCTACTTCAAAACTTTATTGATTCTAAACGCAGGACAATATAACAAGATACACCGGAAAAACAGTGCATTTTATCATGTGTAACTGAGCAACGATAACTATTTTATCAAAAATAAAAAAGCTAACAAAGATTATAAAGAATAAAGAACTGATTTAAGAATAACCATTAGAATTAAATGTTCCGCACATCAATATAATAGTTATAAGACTGAGTTTATTGGCTGCAACAGACTTTTTCCCCCCAGTATATTTCATTAAATGTTTTCCTTTTTTTTGACACAACAAACTTAACTCTTTATAGGCCACTCAGTGAATTACTTTGAAAATCAAAATTTCAAGTCAATGTTGTTATTGGAATGCAGGAAAATACCTTATTACCTTTATAACAATAAAAAAAATATGGATATTATGATAGCAAAAATTAAATGAACAAGAAAAGCCCGAATATATTAAGAAAAATAACAAAAGTGCTTCAGTAGAAATTCATGAAAAACACTCTGAGTGAAAGAAACACATTTTATTTTGTATTATTTTGCTAATACTGACATTTTTTAGTTTATAAACCTAAATATAATTGTTTACTAGGCTTATTAACTTTTTAACTTTACTTTCTAACTTCTCAGTTAGATTTTTACTTTTTTTTAAGTTTGTTGTGTCAAAAAAATAGAAAATTCAATAAAATATATTGGGAAAAAAGTCTGTTTCAGCCAATAAGCTCTAATGTGTGGAACATTTAATTCTAATGGTTATTATTAAATCAGTTCTTTATTCTTTATAATCTTTTGTTTGCTTTTATTTTGATAAAATAGTTATGGTTGCTCAGTTACACATGATAAAATGCACAGTTTTCAGGTGTGTCTTGTTTATATTGTCCTGCGTTTGGAATCAATAAAGTTTTGAAAAAATAAATGTTAGCAGTGTAGGACATAAAAAAAATGTGTTAAAGTAACTAAATATGATTAAGTAAACGCCAAAAGTGGTTGCAATATTTTGTTCAGTGTATGAGGATCATAGGAACTCAAGGTGGAGCTTATTAATGGGTGTCTTGAATACAGTTTTTATTCCTTTATTGCCTTATTTCTCTCTGCCTTCATCTAAAGTGTTTTCTATATTTTTGAAACTTGAAAAATGCAGATTTGAATGATGAATGCATGAGTGAATGTAAATGTGTATAAGTTCAAGGTTACAAGGTTAAGTTTTGTGTGTCAAAAAAGAGAAAATTCAATAAAATATATTGAAAAAAAGTCTGTTGCAGCCAATAAGCTCAGACTTATAACTATCACATTAATATGTGGAACATTTAATTCTAATGGTTATTCTTAAATCAGTCCTTTATTCTTTATAATCTTTGTTTGCTTTTATTTTGATAAAGTAGTTATAGTTGCTTAGTTACACATTATAAAATGCCCTTTTCAGGTGTGTCTTGTTATATTGTCCTGCGTTTGGAATTAATAAAGTTTTGAAATAAAAATAAATATCCAGCAGGGGGCGCGATTGTCACTTGAAAACTCGGATTTATTGAAAGTTTAGCAATTGTTTCTGCATTCCGTTGTTTTTAGTGTGTCCGTTTCCGTATAATGTCTGTTTCTGAAGAGACTGTGAGATGTTTTCGATGTAAATCAGCTGTTTTTTCCTGTTTGCAGGCCGCAGCAGGCCGTCAGATGGACGGCAGGAGCGGTTACTTCCTGAGTTTAGGGAAGGGGCTTGGTCCCGTGCCCGCGCATCGCGAGAACGCGCAGCAAATTAGCATCGATGAAGTTAGTGCGAACATGGCGGATTTCCTGCCGTCCAGGTCCGTGTTAAAAGTTTGTCTACCCGCCTGCCTGCTTAATGCCGGCGAGGCGGAGCAGACTCGAAAGTCCAGGGCGATCGATAAAACTCTTTCCCGGGAGAAAACCTACGTGAAGCGGCTGGTGAAGATCCTGCTGCTGGGCGCGGGCGAGAGCGGCAAGTCGACTTTCCTCAAACAAATGCGGATCATCCACGGCGAGGACTTCGACCAGCAAGCCCGGGATGACTTCAGAGGGACGATCTACAGCAACGTTATCAAAGGTAACCGGGCGCCGCTTTGGCTTCACCGCCAACAACTTTACCGACGGAGGGAGGGAGGGGGGTCCGGGGCAGGGAGGCGATCAGAAGGACGGGAAAGTTTCCACATCTGCTGAGCAGCGCTGGAATAAACAGTCTGCTGTCGGTCGGCACACCCAGTCCGCCCGGTTCCTGCTCCCATCGGCCTCCTGGCGCTGCGCGGCGGCCCGGAAACTTACAACCTGCCGATTAACCGGGCTGGGAGCGGAGAGCCTCGGTTCGGAGAGCTTCGGTTCGGGTAGCTTCGGTTCGGGTAGCCTCGGCCACGTTTTGTTCCTCATCGCAGGATAACCCAGCCGTGAACTAATCCGTGAATTGTTCCTGTTTCTGTCCACTCCTCTAATATCACCATTAAAACTCCACAACCAGCTGCATCAACATGCCTACTAATGGTTTCCCTAAATTTATTATTTTATTTATTTATCCTCATTTATTATTTGTCCAAATTGTTTTATTTTAATGTCCAAATATAATTTCCTCCACACTTTATAGATCATAACTTTCTCTTTTAAGTAACTCAATTCCTTTAAAGGAGATATTTATGTGTAATAAGTAGATTTAAATCTGGATTTATGAAACATCAAATGTTATCTCTCCCTAAACCTTAAAAACACCAAAATATCTAAATATAATTTATATAATTCAATAATTATATAATTAAACGATGAGACATTAATTAATCTTCCGTACAATTTTCAAAAATCAGTCATAACGACTTTTGATACGATTTAGTATGATTGGAGATGTTTTAAATGCAGTTTTAAATGCTATTTAAATCTGGATTTATAAAACATAGTCCAAATGTCGGCGTGTCTTCCTAAACTTTAAAAACACAAACATATTTAAAAATATAACGTGTAAAAATCTGCTGTTAAGTTTCTGTTAGACTTAAAAAAAAAAAGAAAATCTCATGTTTACAATTTACAACCCCTCATTGATTTAACAACTTGTTAAAAATCCTTTCATAATTAGAGGAATGAAAACATAAAGATTTAACTACTTTATTATTACCTTTAAGTTTAATTAATATTTCATTTCCCACAGATAGAGATGCTCTGATCAGCAGCTAGAGAGAATCCAGGCTGTTTCCTTTAATTGATTCTGATCTCTCATTGGCTGGTTAATCACACAAACACACAGGAAATGGAAAAAAAAAATCAGAGAAAAACTGATTTTTATCGTAGAAATGCTTCAGCCAACATGTTTAATAAAATCATAATCTTATAAATCTGAGCCACATTTAACCAAAAGAGCTTTAATAATAATTAATGTAATTTTATGTTAAATTGCATCTGAGATTGAAGCCTTTTATGGTATTTTTCCAAGTATTTAAAAACATATTCTAGGCAGCTACTTTCCTGCAGTTTTTCAAAGACATGGATGAGATGATTTCCCTGTTGGGAGCAGAATGACCTGCTGAGGATCCTTGGCTCCTTCTTCCCACCTCCATGTGATTTCAGACCAGTTCAAACTCATTTTCTACCCCTTTTATTACAGTCTGTCTCCTGGTTCTAAGATATGCCTGATTAATTCTGAAGACGACAATAAAACGCTCCAATCACATGCATAATCTGATTTAACGTTGTTTTATTTGGAACATGTTTGGTCCGTTCCCCGTTTGGACCAGTTGGCTGTTCTGATCCGTTCAGTTGTGACCAGAGATAAAACCAAAATAACCTCCTAATGACCTCCTGCTGGTAAATTATGATTATTGTTGTTATATAACCACATTTCCTGACTAAAGATTGTAAGCAGAGTAGAAAATGACTCAATCAATGGTTCAAACTGATTATAGCAGCAGTTACTGTAGTGATTGGAAAGTACTAGTAAATAAAAACATGACTGGCACGATTGGTTGAAGTATAAAAGCAGGAAGTAGTTACCTTTTTATTATTTTTTTCAGAAAGAGGCCTAAAGGTAAATTTTCAGCCTAACATTTGAAACATAGCTGCAGTATAAACTTTTATTTTGATTTGGTCTTGAAATCTTTCATGCACACGTTTCCCGGCGGGTTCTGCAGAAACGTCAACCAAAGCCCGACTGGATGAGTCGTCCTAAAGTGACGTAATGACGAGGCTCCGGGTCGGTTCCCACTTAGAGGGAAACCGAACCGGTTTTATAAAAGGAACCCAAAAAAAAAGCAACTCTGGAAAAGCACCAGCTGTTTTTATTTATCTCTCATCCCTGAGTTCCAACGTCACAGCTAAATGAAAGCAAGCGGCGCTGGTTCCTGGTTCGCCGCCGCCACCGCCGTCCTCCTCGGGTCGTTTTCCATCCAGAGATGCTGCTGATGAAACTCCTCATTTAACGCTTTATAGCGAACTCAATAGTGTTATTAGAATTTAATGTTACCTTTGTAACATAAAAAAATTCTGGATATTTTGATGGCAAAAATTAATTTCAATGTAATAAAAAGAAACGCCAACTAGCCTGAATTTATTAAGAAAAATGACAAGAGTGCTTCTAGAAGAAATAAATAAAAAAAAACACTCAGAGTGAAAGAAACACATTTTTTCTTTATTTTTTTTGGTCCATCTTAACCTTAGAGGCTTTAATGCTGATATTGGCACTTAGATTTTTTAGTTTATAAACCTAAATATAATTGTTAAATAGACTAATTCACTTTTTAATTTTACAATTAGATTTTTAACTTTTTTTCCTTCTTAATTTCCATTAGGTATTATATCATTCAAAGGCTCTTCTAATTGGTCAAATGCCAAAATCAGATGTACAGCCATGTAGCATAGATCTATGCTGAATGGCTGGATATAGATCTTGTGCTTCTAGACCTCACTGAGGGACTGAGGGTTAACGTCCAAAATGAGAACTTCCCTCCATATTTGATCCATGAACGAAGACTCTTTATTTATTTTTCCTCCAGCCCTGTAGGTGGCAGTAATATGTTTAAATAGATTTTGCTGCCACAAAAAAAGAAGGAACTTCTATCTAGCATGCAGATCTATGCCTGTAAGAACTTTTCCAACAGGCAAGATTTCAAGGTCATGAACAAACTAGAACTAAATCATTTATCCCACCTGCAACAGATTTTATTTTTCTTTAATGCAACAAAATAATTTGAATCTATCAGAAAGAGACTCAGCAGGTGGAAGAAAACTGATCAGTGCGTCTCTGAAAATCTGTGCCTTTGTAGAAAACTGCTTCAGCCTCAACATCAGCTGCTGGCAGCTTCTTCTTCAACACTTAATCTTCTGACAGCAGATAATTCTATTCAGTTTATTTCTATAGCTCCAATTCACATCATGTCATCTCAGGTCACTTTCCAGTTCACCAAATCATCCAGTCAGATTGATTCAAAGTTTTCTATCTAAGGAAAACCAGCTGATTGCATCGACTCATTGACTCTTCAGCAATCCCTCACACTAAGCATGCTTGTAGCGACAGTGGAGAGGAAAAACTCCCTATGAACAGGAAGAAACCTCCAGCAGAACCAGGCTCAGTGTGAGCGGCCATCTGCTGAGGCCCACTGGGGTTCAAGGAGACAGAAGCAGACGTAAAAAAGAGGCATAGATTAGCAGAGTATTATTGATATATTAATACGTTAGTCTGGGTTAGTTATAGATACCTGAATGTTTTGGACTCTGTTTCTTCTGCAATCCTTCTTTCCTATCTTCAAATCCAGCATCAGCTCTCTGAAGGAGATAAAGTCCTTAAAGGACTTTCAAGGACCTAAATATGTATATAAATGTTCTCTTAACAGAACATATTGTCTCAAAATTTAGAAAATTTCTATAAAAAAAAAAAAATCCTGTCTTAAAATCTGTGTTTTTTTCGTTATCTTCTGCAGGCCAGTTAGTTCTACGTCAGCCTGAACACCTAAATTCGACCAATCATATATCAACGCTCATCTGTCAATCAAATATTTTCGGTCATAGCATCTTGATTCATGTGTCTCAGCTAATATACGCAACGGTTGAAATCAGAATCCTTTCCTTTCCCATTGAGTTGCGTCCCAGTGTTCACGGGGATGGACGTCTGTGTCTTCGGCAGGCGTAGAGCTAACAGAACTGGCAGCGTTGCGAGGCAAGGGCTCAAACATGTACGGCTGGAAGCCTTCTACACCAAACCAAGCTTCTGCCGCCCTGGCGTCCTCTTCCACAACATCTTCGTCCCCGCTTTCCTCCTCTAAATAAAAAATGGATGACGGAGGAGACTCATCCACGACCTCCGACACTAAACTCTCCTCCTCTTGCATGTTTCCGCTGTCCATAGCGTTCCTTGACAGCGTCGTTTCTAAGTCACCAATTTAGTGCTACTTGGTCCCAATGGAATTTCCCATTGGGAACCTGCTAGCGCTAAGATGCTAACTGGTTAGCAAGATGCTTCAGAGAAACCGGCCACAACAAAACTAGCTTGCAAACCTTCCGCCACACAATCCCTGATAATCGACCAATCACATTCACTTTATTCACTCGTGTAAAGTCGTGCACCACTCGGGAGAATTTGGAAATGCAAAAGTTGGAACAGCTGCTTCCCTACGACTTTAAAAACCAACAAATTATTCTATTTTTTACTGAAAAGCTAAATAAAAATGATGTTTTTTAGCTCCTGCACCGACCTGTTTTTCCTACTTTAAAATGGACCAGTTAGGTTTTTATTAATGAGCTAAACATATAAAAGTAATGGAAAATACAACAATCCTATAATTATTTAAATTTATGTAACTTTTTTATTAAATGGGAAAACTCCTGGAAGCTGCAGCGGTTGGTGTGTCCATGTAGGAACCTGCTGAACGCTGAGGAGGTGAACGTCTGGTTCATTAGTGCAGGTCGCCCGTCCATCCGGGACCAAACCACGCCCCCCGGGTGATGTTAGCGGGTTTTACGCCTTTTTTTCCCCCAGTATCTGCATCGTCATGGTCATCAGTTAATTCATTTATCATTGTTTATTTTCTAATCGAAGAAGAAACTCAACATTAGCCTGAAGGATCAATCCAAACTAATCGGTATCGCATTTCTGGAGCCGCTTAAACCGACCCGATCTTTAAAAAAATCACTAATTCATAGAGACTAGAGAACCGGATGGGCTGTGGCAGGAAGCAGGAGTACCCAGAGAGAGACACCACACAGGGAAACCCCCCGCCTGGACTGCTGCGGTTCTGATCTCTACGGTTTTTACCTTTTCTCTGTTGGGACTGAAGCCTGTTTGAAGGTTAAGATATTTAGTTTCCCTCTTTAGTAAGCTGAGATCAAAGGTTTATTTTGGGCCTTTAGTTTGGAGAAACGAGCCCTGATGTTCTGAGGAGTCCCGCCTCCTCCGTAGGAATGGCGTGGAACTGCTGACTGTACGGAAAATGACCAAGTGAAGCGAACGCATGCAGACTTACCTTCCCCCTGCCCTCTCTGACCTGCTCTCTCCTTCCCATCCAGGTATCCGCGTGCTGGTGGACGCTCGGGAGAAGCTGCACATCCCGTGGGGCGACCCCGACAACCAGCAGCATGGCGACAACCTGATGGCCTTCGACACCCGGTCGGCCAAGATGGCGACCGGGCAGCTAGACAAGGAGGTGTTCCTGCGCTACGCGACCGCCATTAAAGCCCTGTGGGCCGACTCGGGCATCCAGAACGCGTACGACCGGCGCCGGGAGTTTCAGCTGGTAGGTTTGAGTCGCCTGGAGGGGAGATAACGGCGGCCATCTTTTCTTCTCTTTTCTTCATCTTTGTCTGATAACAGCTGAGCCATGTCGCTGCATAGCATGTTCTTTATCAGGTGATCTCTGAGGTGTTTCAGGTGGTTTGAGTCTGACTTCTGTGTTATATATATATATATATATATAATCCTAAAGAAGCGAAGGCTTTTATAAAATGGCAGATAGAAAAGAAAGTGAAACTGCAGTTTAATTCATCCTCCTCTGCTGCTTCCCTGCAAACGGCTCCGTTTCTGTCTGTTCTGCCCCGTTTTAAGCGGTCAGACATGTGATTCAGGCAGCTTCCTGTTTACACCTCTCCCTGCTCCTTATATCTCAAGCACATTTTCAAACTGTGACGTTTCCCACAGAGCGGCAGCTGTGGTTGAGGCTCGCGCGTCTTCCCCCTCCAGCGGGACCTTTAGTGCGGCGAGGACTTGAACAATCCTCTGCAGAACTAAAAAGCTTTTTTTTTTTTTTTCTGCCTCTTTGTGAGACGTTACTAAAGGTCATGTGACATTGGGGGGGACGAGGCAAGAGAAGCACTTCTCCATGTTGCTTTCAGTAGTGAGCCAAACGTTGCGAGTTGCACAAGTTGGGACTGTTCTCTGTGGGATTTGGTTCTGCAGGGAATTGTGAGGATTTTTTTCGTTTTGTTTTTTCTGCAGGAAGGAGGAGGAATAAGTGTTGATCAGAGCAGGAATGTTGATCTGCTCTGCTGTTTTAAACGGCTTTACTCAGAGCCCAGCCTCTCGGACTCAGCATTATTTACACACAAACACTGTGAGGGTAACATAAGCACAAAGACACACCTGCACCTTCAGGCCTTAAAGCCTTTACTTCACCTCATTAGTCCCTTTTTTAATAATTATCGACTATTTCCATAAAAGAAAATCACCTTCCTGCAATCCTGAATGTTTAACAGTTTGATCACATCGAATGCTGCTTTTTACTTTTATGTAGAGAAACTAAACCTGCTTTGACTTTAAAAAATGGTTTAATTTGAAGCAGAAATGTGTGTTTGGAGCTAAAAATCAAGCAAAGTTTGCAAAGACGGCTGGAAAGTCTAATCTTTTACGACCTACATGGGATTTAAGAGGGAAAGCAGCTGCTGTTTGAAGCACCTGATCGTTGGGAGCAGAGCTGCTTTTCCAGGCGTGTTTCTGTGGATCAGACAGAAACCAGCTTCAACTCGGAGACGCCGCTTTGGGTCACCTTTAATTTGGCATTTTTTAAAATTATTTCAATATTTTCAAGCTGTATGAAGGCTGAAACAATTCCGATTGTGATTAAATGATTATTGTAATAATCATCAACTAATTCAGTAATCAATAATCGTTAACGAGTACAGCGTGACCCACTGGAGCAGGAATTATACCCAATTGTATAATTAAATATATAAACATTTTGCAAACATTTTTATTTTCCATCAATTTTCTCTATTTATTCGATAATTATTTATTATTTCAAAAACTAACCGAGTTAATTGATGAGCAAAATGATCGTTTGTAGCAGCCCCTAGTATGAAATGTAGATGTTTGGAGGAAGCGATGCAGCAAAAACGCTCACGTTAACTGTTCAGCACGGTGGAGGAGGGGTGATGGTTTGGGCTTGGCAGCTGTAGATCCTTGGAGTCAAAATGTCTGCCATGAAGTTCCCCTTATAATTTGTCCTTTAGTCCGTTCAATCGTTTGGGTCAATGACCCAACAACAGATCTATACTAGAATCCAACCGACCCTTTGATAAAACCCAATAATAAATCTGGATGATTTTTACTGCATCTTCAGTATCGGAACAAATTCAGATCGACTAAATCAGTGGTTTTATATAACGGTGGAGATGATTGGTGCCCGTGTCGATCCCCAAAGCTTTAACGATGTCCTCGGCTAAACCCCCCCAACCTTTGGTCTGCTCGTTGGAGTTTTTGCTAAATATAAAGGGTCTCCTTGAGTCCAGAAGTGAATCTTTCCTCTGGTCTAAATCTGCTTTTTCAGTGACAGAATCGGCGGCTGTTTCTCAATTCACTAGTATAGACTCGTGTTCTCGCCAAGTATGTTCCCAGGAAACTCTGGACTCGGGGAGAACGGGAGCACGCAGCAGAAATATGGGTCGATAGGAACAGCAGCGTACTGATGACATCAACACATTCAAAGCTAGTCTGGAGCTGCATTTCACCTCCTGTTATTAACAGTCTCTAGATAATAATAAATTCCTACTTTTTTCATGAACACAGTCAGATAAACACAAATCAAATGAACATTTTACCAAATAAACCAAAAAATTTCCATCAGAGCCAGTGGTACTTGTTAAAATGAGAAGGATTTGTCCCCTTGGAAGTAAAGGCTGTAGCGCCCCGGGGGCCTCCTCACCGGTTCACACACGGCTATGCAGGGAGAGGGCTGCTACAGACGGGCTAACGTTAGCCCTTGCTGCTACAGACGGGCTAACGTTAGCCCTTGCTGCTACAGACGGGCTAACGTTAGCCCTTGCTGCTACAGACGGGCTAACGTTAGCCCTTGCTGCTACAGACGGGCTAACGTTAGCCCTTGCTGCTACAGACGGGCTAACGTTAGCCCTTGCTGCTACAGACGGGCTAACGTTAGCCCTTGCTGCTACAGACGGGCTAACGTTAGCCCTTGCTGCTACAGACGGGCTAACGTTAGCCCTTGCTGCTACAGACGGGCTAACGTTAGCCCTTGCTGCTACAGACGGGCTAACGTTAGCCCTTGCTGCTACAGACGGGCTAACGTTAGCCCTTGCTGCTACAGACGGGCTAACGTTAGCCCTTGCTGCTACAGACGGGCTAACGTTAGCCCTTGCTGCTACAGACGGGCTAACGTTAGCCCTTGCTGCTACAGACGGGCTAACGTTAGCCCTTGCTGCTACAGACGGGCTAACGTTAGCCCTTGCTGCTACAGACGGGCTAACGTTAGCCCTTGCTGCTACAGACGGGCTAACGTTAGCCCTGGCTGCTGCAGACGGGCTAACGTTAGCCCTGGCTGCTGCAGACAGGCTAGGGTTAGCCCTGGCTGCTGCAGACGGGCTAGTGTTAGCCCTTGCTGCTACAGACGGGCTAACGTTAGCCCTTGCTGCTACAGACGGGCTAACGTTAGCCCTGGCTGCTGCAGACGAGCTAACGTTAGCCCTGGCTGCTGCAGACGGGCTAACGTTAGCCCTGGCTGCTGCAGACAGGCTAGGGTTAGCCCTGGCTGCTGCAGACGGGCTAGTGTTAGCCCTGGCTGCTACAGACGGGCTAGTGTTAGCCCTGGCTGCTGCAGACGAGCTAACGTTAGCCCTGGCTGTTGCAAATGAGCTAACGTTAGACCTGGCTGCTGCAAATGAGCTAACGTTTGCCCTGGCTGCTGCAGACGAGCTAACGTTTGCCCTGGCTGCTGCAAATGAGCTAACGTTTGCCCTGGCTGCTGCAGACGGGCTAGTGTTAGCCCTGGCTGCTGCAGACGGGCTAACGTTAGCCCTGGCTGCTGCAGACGAGCTAACGTTAGCCCTGGCTGCGGTTAGCCTTGGAGGATCGCAGGTTGCCATGCTCCTCTCAACTACAGATTTTATTTTTTATTACGCATTAAACCAGTAAATGGGCTTTATAGTGACGCTTTAAGTTTAATGTCCTCGCCTCAAATTAGCTTAAAACATACTTTTATTGAACAACAGAAAAGCGAACTTTTAACTTAATCCTCTGAGCTCTGTGAGCGTTAACCTGGAAGCTGCTGCTGCCGCAGTGCATGCTGGGACAGCTGTCAGTCTGGAGAACGGACAAGTCTGCTCTGATGCATGCTGGGTAAAGAGGGAGGGGCCAGAACAACATCCAGGGAATTTGTCTGTTCTCAGTCTGCTGTTCTTGTGAATTTGAACAGTACTAGAGCTGAGGCTGATGACGTTTCACAAGGACGCACAAGAACACGGATTAAGAAACGCCAGTGTGGAGAACTAGCTAGCCTCTGGTTAGCATGAAACCAGTTTAGTGGAAACCTCCGACCTGAAGGAGTGCATTCTGCCAAACATGACTCAGCACCGTTACATAGATGAATCCCTCCAGATGCAACAGATTAATTAGTGGTGAAAATGACCTGAATATCATATGTGCATCACAGTGATCCCATAAATACTAATTTAGTGAATTTTACTGAATATTTTAAATTTCATGAAATAAATCTGCTGAGTTCAAATTATTTTCTCTCTAAATAAGCAAAAACATTTTCCAAAATCTCCGAAAGCTTAAGGGAAATGCCGGTTTGTTCCTGAAACCCTGAGGCCTGTTGACGGATTGAAGACTAAAAATTCAACTTTATTCCAGTTAAATAAAAAGTCAAGCAAATGTGATGTCATTCAAAGGCTCAGTGTTTAAATAAACGCAGTCAGAGACGAGTGGATGTTTATAGATGAATGGCAGTAAACAGCAGCTGGGCTGGAAGCAGGAAGCCGAGCAGCGGGATGCTGGGTCTGCTTTTAATGTTCCGTTTGCTCATTGGCAGCGGGTCAGAGAGGCGGAGGACTGATGATTGGAGCCCTGATTCTGCAGCAGTTTTAAACTAAACCACCACGGCTCCCCTCACCATCCTTTGCAGGGCGCTTTGTCTGCCATGTTTAAGGTGGATTAAATTGAGGCTTAAAGGGGGCGAACGTCAGACCAAAGCACCATGTCGCCCTGCAGCTTTGAGGTTCACCCTAGAACACGAGTCCGTACTCGCGTTCTAGTGAATTAACCTAAGTAGGTTCTTCACTAGAACAGATCCGTCTGGACTCTGGGAGAACAGGAGCACGTAGAATAAATCTGGATCAATTGGAACAGAAGCGTACTGATGACATCATCACACGCTCAGCTCCTCTGGAGCTCATTTCACCTCCTGTTATTAATCATCTCTAGATAATAATAGTTACTTTTTTTTATTTAGTGGGGGAATAATAATGAACAAAGTCAGATAAACACAAATCTCGTGTCCTCGTGAAACGTCATCAGCCTCAGCCCTGCTACTGTTTCAGTTCACAAGAAGACAGAGAACTGACAAAGTTCCCGGATGTTGTTCTGGCCCCTCCCTCTTTACCCAGCATGCATCAGAGCAGACTTGTCCATTCTCCAGACTGACAGCTGTCCCAGCATGCTAACGTTAGCCCGTGTGCAGCAGCCAGGGCTAACGTTAGCCCGTGTGCGGCAGCCAGGGCTAACGTTAGCCCGTCTGCGGCAGCCGGGCTACCGTTAGGCCGTCTGCGGCAGCCAGGGCTAACGTTAGCCCGTGTGCGGCAGCCAGGGCTAACGTTAGCCCGTCTGCGGCAGCCGGGCTACCGTTAGGCCGTCTGCGGCAGCCAGGGCTAACGTTAGCCCGTCTGCGGCAGCCAGGGCTAACGTTAGCCCGTCTGCGGCAGCCAGGGCTAACGTTAGGCCGTCTGCGGCAGCCAGGGCTAACGTTAGCCCGTCTGCATCAACCAGGGCTAGCGTTGGCCCGTCTGCATCAACCAGGGCTAGCGTTGGCCCGTCCGCGGCAGACAGGGCTAGCTTTGGCCCGTCCGTGGCAGCCAGGGCTAACGTTAGCCCGTGTGTAAAGTACCGCTGGCTCTGATGGTGCTTCTCTTGACAAAAGTTTCATTTGATTTGTTCATTATTATTCCCCCACTAAATGAAAAGTCAGAATTTATTATTATCTAGAGGGTAAGAGGAGCAGAGCGTGAGCTGACGTCAAAGGTACGCCTGACCCATATTTATGCTTTGTGGTTCCGTTCTCCCAGAGTTCACACTGTCCTGGTTTACATGGCCAGATTTCTTGTGAATTGAGAACGGACTTTGTCTGTTCTCGGTCTTCTCGTTCTCGTGAATTTGAGCTGTACTAGGGCTGAGACTGACATCTCACAAGTACATGAGCACATGAGAAGGCACAAGTAGACATAATGAGAGACGACCAACAGTACATGCTAGCTTCAAGCTAACACTATGAAACGAGACTAGCTTCAGGCAGTCAGAGCTTCTCTATCTGCTATATCTTAGCAGTAAACCTGCCAGACGTAAGCTAACCTTAAATATTAGCTTCATGGATGCAGACAGACTACAGCGATGGTCTGTCAGTCAAAGCTAACGGCTAGGTGAGCTGCTCATTACTATGGCAACAAGACGGACTGTAAAATGCTACCAAGGGACTGAACTGACGACTGAAGCAGAATAAAGGATCCAGGAGCCGATAGTTAAAGAAAATATTCAGCAAAGTTACCAGAAATCGTACCGGCCGTAAGGGTTCTAGCTAACGCTAATGTGTTTAATAATTCAGATTTAAATTATGTTTTTATTTCTAAACAAAGGCTGATCTGAGCCCTAATTATTGGTTTTGGAGGATTTTACATTTTTCTGTTGAGCAATGATTTTAATGTAATGTAAAAACTGTTAGATTTTTTTTAAGCGTGCAAAAATAAAATAAAAGGGAAATTATGCCTGAATGTATTTTCTACATTTAGTTATTTCTTTATTTGATTTTTTTTGGCATCTGAACGTCTTTTTATTTTGATTCTATTATAGCCTCTGATATGAATCTGCTTTTGTTTTATTTTCCCAAAATAGAGGCAGATTTTATTTTAGGTCAGCTCAAATTAGAAGCATCCATTTAAGAAAATATGAATAGAATAGATATAAATCACACTCAGTTATTTAATAGGAGCCATGTTGCTCATGTGCAGATTTTGAAAGAGATAACTGAAGAGATTTCAAAATAAAAGCCTCCAAAATCAAAACCAGCGTTGCTGATTGTAGCGGTTAAGTTTGGTTTCTTCTCCTCGTTCATGTCGATGATCGGCTCGTTTTCTCCGCTCATCCTGTTTTGTTCTGATGAATATTTTCCATAAATCTACGTTTTGTTTTTAATGAATTAAAAGTGAGTTTTTTTCAGACTCCGAAGGTTTGAGCTGTGAAGAAGCTGCAGCTTCGACCATATCAATAATCCACCGCAGGACTGACTCGCTCTCATATTGTGTTTCAGTTTTGCTTTTTCAGCAGTCGTCCTCGAACTGCAGGCGCCATCATGACTCGCGCTGCTCCTCTGGTTTCCCTTCCTGTTTTTCAGCAAAACAGATTTTTTTTTTTCTTTATCATTTCAAACCCACTGATCCCCCCTCAGATAGCCTGAATTTAAATGTTGGTTTCACCTGGAGGCAGGTAGTGGTTTTTCATCCCCCTCCCTCCCTCTTCCCTGCTATCTGGTGTTAGCGTATTAGCACGCCATCCTGCCCCTCCCTGGTGTAACTCTAACCGCCACACTCATCCACTCTCTTACAGTCGGGTTTTTCAGGTCAAACTAGTTTTTTTTTCCTGTTTTTTCATAAAGGCTCAAAAGGTGAGGACATCAGCTTAAAACGAGGGTGGGAGTTGAAATGCGCATATGTCCGCCACCCAGCCCCTTTGGTTTTATTCAATATGTAGCAGATTTCTGGATTTGAATCGGGAACTAAAGCAGAGAAAGTCTGTTTAGACTGTTGGTGAACGCATCCATCACACGCTCCCCTCAGCGCCGGGCTGAAGGAATGCCTCTCGGTCCTAGCAGCCCCATGTCTGGACTTGCACCGACTAACTGCACAAAAGCAGCGTCAGATGTGACTCAAGAGAAACACACACGCATAAAAAAAAAAGGAGAAAACTGCTCTCCTGCACACAGAGAAACGCAGCCACACTTCTGTGCACATCAAAGAGCCGCTCAGAAACACGTGTCTGCTTCAGCGGCCGATGGTTTGCATCCTGCTTCAGCAGAAACAACAGATTTCCTTTGTGTTTGTGTGGCAGATGTAGAGCTTCTCTGTGGCTCCTCTGCTGCAGAATGATCATGTTGACTGTTTTCAGGGTGAAACTAACAGAAATTTCCTTCTGTTTCATGGCAGGGCGAGTCGGTGAAATATTTCTTGGATAATCTGGATAAGCTCTGCAAGCCGGTGAGTTTTTCCCCTTTCTGCTCCCGTTCCTCTGATCGGACCCGTTCGTGTCCGGACAGCAGAATGTTCACCCCAAACTTTTCATTTTTTCTTTCTGTGATTATTCAGGGTTTCTGCAGGTCATTAAAAAGTCATTAAATTATAATTTTTTTTAGATTAAGGCCTTAATTGGCATCAAAATTCATTAAATGTGATTATGGTTGCATTTAAAATGCTTATTTAAAAAAGAAAACTTTATAAAAATATTCCGCGTTTTTGTGGAATTGCTTCCGGTTGATCGTAAAGCTGTATGTTTGGAAAAGAAGCTCAAGGCGGAGAAAAGGCTAGAGAATGGGGGGGATTTCAGTGGCTGGAAAACATGGAATTTGGGCCTGTCGGCGGTAAAGATGACGAAGGATTTTAACGTCATATATGTTTATGAGTGTCATGTGTACTTGTGGCATTGAAATCATTTCTAAGAGCATTAAATTAGAGTTACTCAGAGTTCCTGTATAAACCCTGATATTGTTTAGTGTATAAACGGGCGAGTGAAACGTTGGCCGCTTCCCTCGTCGCTGTGCTGAATTCCACCCTGAAGAGGAAGAGAAACGATGCATTACTGCATTTCTTTTGTAGACAAAAAGAGCTGAAGGCATTTCTGCTTTATTTCAACAACATGTAATAAAATATGGGCCAACGGTTGAGCTCAGAAGTCACCGGAACTTTGGAGGAGCTGCAGAAATACGCTGCTCAGGTTGAAGGTGCCATTGATTGGCCAATGAGGATCCCTCAAACAATCTGGGCTTTATTATTTGGAACAGATTAGCTGCAGCAAACATTTGGGCAGCAGATGATAACGGTACACGGTGGTGGCAGCATTATGCTGCGGTAGGAAAGCTGAGTGGAACAGGGAGCTACAGGGAAGCTAAAGGAATCTCTGAAGTTTTTTTCTGAACATTTCCAGCCAATATTATTGGAATCCAGGATAAGACCATATTACCTCTGTAACTTAAAAAAAAAAATTATATTTTGATGGCAAAAATTTATGTCAATCTAATAAAGTGGAATGCTACGGAAGAGGATTAGGGCCAGTGGAAAAAAAAAAGTTAACCGATTTTTACATTTTATTTCAGTTTAGTATGGGAGAAAAGTCAGAATTCTGAGAAAAAAGTCAGAATTCTGAGAAAAAAGTCAGAATTCTGAGAAAAAAGTCAGAATTCTGAGAAAAAAGTCAGAATTCTGAGAAAAAAGTCAGAATTCTGAGAAAAAAGTCAGAATTCTGAGAAAAAAGTCAGAATTCTGGGAAAAAAGTCAGAATTCTGGGAAAAAAGTCAGAATTCTGAGAAAAAAGTCAGAATTCTGAGAAAAAAGTCAGAATTCTGAGAAAAAAGTCAGAATTCTGGGAAAAAAGTCAGAATTCTGGGAAAAAAGTCAGGATTCTGGGAAAAAAGTCAGAATTCTGGGAAAAAAGTCAGAATTCTGGGAAAAAAGTCAGAATTCTGGGAAAAAAGTCAGAATTCTGAGAAAAAAGTCAGAATTCTGAGAAAAAAGTCAGAATTCTGGGAAAAAAGTCAGAATTCTGGGAAAAAAGTCAGAATTCTGGGAAAAAAGTCAGAATTCTGAGAAAAAAGTCAGAATTCTGGGAAAAAAGTCAGAATTCTGGGAAAAAAGTCAGAATTCTGAGAAAAAAGTCAGAATTCTGGGAAAAAAGTCAGAATTCTGGGAAAAAAGTCAGAATTCTGGGAAAAAAGTCAGAATTCTGGGAAAAAAGTCAGAATTCTGGGAAAAAAGTCAGAATTCTGGGAAAAAAAGTCAGAATTCTGGGAAAAAAAGTCAGAATTCTGGGAAAAAAAGTCAGAATTCTGAAAAAAAGTCAGAATTCTGAGAAAAAAGTCAGAATTCTGGGAAAAAAGTCAGAATTCTGGGGAAAAAGTCAGAATTCTGGGAAAAAAGTCAGAATTCTGGGAAAAAAGTCAGAATTCTGGGAAAAAAGTCAGAATTCTGGGAAAAGAAGTCAGAATTCTGACTTTTTCCCATACTATACTGAAATAAAATAAACTAAAAATAACTTCTTTTTTTTTCAGTGACCCTAATCCTCTTCCATAGAATGCCAACTTGCCCGAATATATTAAGAAAAATAACAAAAGTGATTCTATAAGAAATTCATGAAAAATGCTCTGAGTAAAAGAAACATAACCTTAAAGGAATAGTACACCCAAAACATGATTAGCCTTCATTTTCTACTCACCCCCATGCTGAACAACACTCTGGAGTACTTTTTTGATATCTCAAATGCATCTGGAGATCTGGGAGGCTTCTTGCTGTCTGCTGACATTCAAATAATGGAGGTCTATGGTGCCCGAGGCAGAAAGGTCCATAAAAGTCCACAAAAAACGTGTCAATATTCCTCCATACTGCTCGTCCAATGTATTCCAAGTGTCCTGAGTGGGTAGCATCCAGAATTTACTCGAAATGAAGTTATTTAGAATGTTTTTAGAGCATAAACAGTAGTGTATAGGATTTCCTAAAAGCGCGTTCACGAGCCTACGGAAACCGCGGCAGACCAAACCAGATGAAAGTGCGCATTCAGCGTCTGCTCTGCCGATAATGCAAGCGTAGAAGAAGAAATGTGCTGTTTACCTGTGCAAAGAAAGAAACAACGAAAGAAAAATGTCTGAGGACTTCAGTGTTGAGGAAGAGCATGAGTTCTTTGCCGAGCTGAATGCGCACTTTCATCTGGTTTGGTCTGCCGCGGTTTCGGTAGACTCGTGAACTCGCAGGCGCGCGCTTTCAGGAAATCCTATACACTACTGTTTATGCTCTAAAAACATTCTAAATGACTTCGTTTCGAGTAAATTATGGACGCTACCCACTCAGGACACTTGGAATACATTGGACGAGCAGTATGGAGGAATATTGACACGTTTTTTGTGGACTTTTATGGACCTTTCTGCATCGGGCGCCATAGACCTCCATTATTTGAATGTCAGCAGACAGCAAGAAGCCTCCCAGATCTCCAGATGCATTTGAGATATCAAAAAAGTACTCCAGAGTGTTGTTCAGCATGGGGTTGAGTAGAAAATGAAGGCTAATCATGTTTTGGGTGTACTATTCCTTTAAATCGGAGGTCTTTAACAGGGGGTCACGACCCCTAGGGGTCCATGGAGGTACTGCATGGGGTCGCCAAAATTTTGGTTGATTAAACTTTTTTTTATATATTTGCTGCTGCAATTTTTTCCACTAATTGAAATGTCTTTAAATCCACATGAACATGAATCCAACAGACTGTAGTAAACAGATAAATGGAGGCAGAAGATGTCTTTCAGTCATCAATGCTCACATTCAGAGACACACAGGAGCTCTTTCAAGCTGGACACCGTTTCATTCACAACACCTGTCCCATCAACCAGGAATCAGAAATACTTTAATAATCCCAGGGAGGGATTACTTTAGTTACATTACTCCATCTGTAATAGAGTGACTATAGGAACAGTTTGATAGAACACTATTTAATACCATATATATAATTAGGGGGTCCCCCGTTAGGGGTGTAAATCAAACCCATCATGATGATTCGATTCAGTATCAATTTCCTGACCCAACCATTTGTTTATTTCCGATACTCAAGAATAAACTTTGATTCGATTAATTGCTTAATCTATTTTTTTTTTACCTTACAGGTTAGAGAATGTTTCAAATTGGAAATAAATCAGTGAAAGCTGTAATATCGTTATGCATTTTATTTACGAAACAACAGCAAATAACAGAAGAAGCAAAGTTCTTCTCCACCTATAAACCTCATTCACTGAAAAATAATAATGCCTCAGTGTTTACGCCACTGTGTGTAAGTATGCGGAAAGAGGGTAGTAAATCAATTGCCCTATAAAGGGTTAAATAATTTAAAATGTATTCAGAAATCTGTGAATTAGTCTCTTAGTTGAATTACTGGCTGCAGAATAATTGTAAACTTTTCGGTTTATATTTTCTGAGGTTTAGTGTCGCCCAGCTTTGCATTCATCAACATTAAAGTTTGGTTTAGTAGAAACCACAAGCTGTGCAGAATAGAAACCCAACCTCACCATTTACAACCTCTAGCCTTGATTGCAGCAGAGCAATCAGTGTGTGTGTGTGTGTGTGAGGCGTGCAGACGTCACACGGACCCGATTGGTACCAGAGGGATCCGACGCCGCGGGTCGGCGGCCAGGAAGGCTTCGGCCCACATGTAGGGCCTTCCTGCCGGCGTCACACTAACTCATCCATCAAACTCCTGATTTCTGTTATTAGAGGAAAATCTCAGGATCTTCTGTCAAGCAGCTGCTTGTTGAAGGAATCCTGATCTAAAAGATCCGGTTCTTTAACCCAGATCTTTTCTACCTTTAGCAGAAGCCAAACCTCAGACGTTTTATCCGTTTCCAGGTCCGAAGCTCAGGTTTCTGTTTGTGATGCAGCAGCAGCCATTCATACCGGCTGCTTCCCAGCCCAGTGGCATCCCAGTAGCAGCCCAGTGGCAGCCCAGTGGCAGCGCAATGGCATCCCAGTGGCATCCCAGTGGCAGCCCAGTGGCATCCCACCTCCCTCCTACTTCCACCCACTGGACTGACCTCCTCTTGCAGTGTTTTTACTCTTTCTCCACCCTTTCACTGAATCACAGGGTCAGACCAGGAGATGATGCTTCTCTTTAGGTCTTAATGTCCACAAATCATGACAGAATATTTTGTTAGAAAGATTGATGTTTATAGAGGAATTAGGGGAGCATCAAGGAAAGTGGGATAACTTTAAAAGGCTACTAATATATGTTCCCCCAAAATGATGGGAATCATTTCCCGTCTCAAAGATTCAAATCCTGCATTAAAGGATCAGAGCTGCCTGTTTCCATCTATATTCACTGGATTATTTAATAGAATTTATATTAAAGAGAGAAATATTCCTTGTTTTTTTCACGCTTTATTATAATCAGGAGAACTCGTTTATTGGACCATGAGTCCAGAATAAAGTCTGTCTGTCTGTCTATCTATCTCTCTATCTCTATCTATCTCTATCAATCTATCTCTATCAATCTATCTCTATCAATCTATCTCTATCAATCTATCTCTATCTCTATCAATCTATCTCTATCAATCTATCTCTATCAATCTATCTCTATCAATCTATCTCTATCAATCTATCTCTATCTCTATCAATCTATCTCTATCTCTATCAATCTATCTCTATCAATCTATCTCTATCAATCTATCTCTATCAATCTATCTCTATCTCTATCAATCTATCTCTATCAATCTATCTCTATCAATATCTATCAATCTATCTCTATCAATCTATCTATCTCTATATATCTCTATCTCTCTACCTATCTCTATATATCTCCGTCTATCTATCCACTCTATCTCTATATCTTTTACTCTGTAGAAATGTTTCTGTTGTTTGGAGTCTATTTAGATTTATTTTTTTCCCAGTAGACGAAAATCTTTCATGAATTGATTTACCGTAGATATTTTTTTTTCTGAGCCGTTCCGATGGATCTTTCCCAAACCGAACGACTCCCAGAACCACAGCAGCCTCCTGCTTTCTAGGAAATCCTGTTTTCACTGAAAACCTGATCCTTAATTCCAAGTTAAATGAGATGTTTGGTGTTTCTGCAGATTTTAGTTGCTGTTTATTTTCTCTCTAGCTCAGATCGGGTTTTGAATGTGATGTTTTGCTCTGCAGGATTATCTGCCCAGCCAACAGGACATCCTGCTGGCCCGTAAGCCCACCAAGGGCATCCACGAGTATGACTTTGAGATCAAGAACGTTCCCTTCAAGATGGTGGACGTCGGGGGGCAGCGGTCAGAGCGGAGACGCTGGTTCGAGTGCTTCGACTCGGTCACCTCCATCCTCTTCCTCGTGTCTTCCTCTGAATACGACCAGGTAAAGAAAGGAGCTGCTGGGAAGTTTTAGTCATTCTGACTGATTAAAACCACCAAACTTAGTTTTTATTGCAAACAGACACCAAGCATTAAACCACGACAGGACAAACAGTCAGTGGCTCCACATTTATGGCGTCTGCCAGCAGAGCGTTAGCTGCTCTTCACACTTTGAAAGAAAAAATAAAATAATCTTGAATAAGGAGGTTTTTCCAGATCTTCATGTCAGGAAGTGTCTTCATAACCTAAAGTTAAAGCTACAGATGAAAGTTATACATTAATGAGGTGATTAATCAATTTATCGATCAAACGGATTCATTTATAAGTGAACATTAAAAAAAACAACAGTTTTTTCTTGTTTAAGATCTTTTAACCCTTTATAAGGCACTCGGATAAATACTTTTAAAATCAAAAAAAGCCAGCAGTGTTCTTGGAATCCAGGAAAAAACCTTCTTACCTTTGTAACATTAAAAAATCTGCATATTTTGATGGTAATAAATGTCAATAAAATAACAAGAAACGCCAACTTTCCGAATATATTAAGAAAAATAACAAAAGTTCTATAAGAAATTAATGAAAAACACTCTGACAGGGAAATATAAATACTTTCTTTTGATCTAACATAACCTTAGAGGCATTAATGCTGATATTGACACTGACATTTTTTAGTTTATAAACTTAAATCTAATTGTTAACTAGACTTATCAACTTTTTCACTTAAATTTTTAACTTTTCAATTAACTTTTTACCTTGTTTCTTGACTTGTTTACCTTTTTTTTTTACTTTACAGTTGGTAATATATCATTCAAGTGTTCATGTAGCAGCATCTTTGCTCTCTGCTGAATGGCTGGATATAGATCTTGTGCTTCTAGAGCTCACGGGCGGGGGATATTTGTAAAGGGTATGCAAGTGATCAAAAACGTTATGTTGCCCTATAAAGAGTTAATAAACTGCTGCATTAGTAATGATGGTACCTCATTATATATTTAACCTCATTCCAGCAATAACAAGTTTTCTTAGAAATAATTAAAATGAATAGTCGAGAATTTTTGCAACTTTGGAAAAGTTTGTGAGATTAAACACGAGCGAGAGCGTTAGGGTTCCCGCGGGTCCTTAAAAAGTCTTAACAGGCATTGAATCCTTCAAAATAAAACTAAGGCCTTAATTGGTATTAAAATGACTTAAATCCGTCTTTCGTAGGTCTTAATTTTTAAAACATCATAAATAGGATTATTTTTATTATGATTTATTTTTGTAATCTAAATAAAACATTAAAATTTACCTTTTTCTTTTTATTATTTAAAAAAAAATAACTGCTCTCCATTATTGGTTCCGTCCCGATAGCGGAACCAATAAAAGCGTTGTTGCGGCCGGAACATTTGGGAGATTTACTTTTTGTTTGGAAAATATGAGCAAGTGTAAATGGAACCAAAATTGTCTCCAGCCAAGAGTTTTCTCCATGGCTAAAACCAGGGAACAAACATGAGGCTCATGGGAATTAAGGCAGTGGAGTCGCACATGCGAAGCACGAAACACAAAGCGTCTAAATGGAGTTAGAGAGAAACAGCCGGTATTTTTCAGTTTAGTTCCACCCTTGTCTCTGCAACGCCTCCACTTATCACCAAATCAAACATACTAAGAAAACCATACAAAGAAAAATAGCTGCTAAAAAGACTTAGCACTGGTTATGTTGGGGCTTTAAAACTGATTTGTTTTGTTCCCTGCTAAAACAAAGTTTGTGAATTCAGTTAAATAATTGTTCAAATATATCTGTCATTTGTGTGTTTTTAGCTTTCTTCCTGTATGGGAAGCTTTTCAACATTTGAAACATTAGTGCAGTGGTTTATGTTAAAATAAACCTTTGGGTTAAGTTGTCGCAAGCGGGTTTGGTCTTAAATTCTTATTTCAAGTGGCATTAAAAAGTCTTAAAAAGTCTTGAATTTAACTTGCCTTATGCTGTAGGAACCCTGAGCGTGCACGAGCCCATTTCTCCTCGTGCACGCTCTGTTTAACCCTGTAAAACCCAAATATAGAAAAACACTAAAACACATTTTTTTTCAACCACTCAGATGTTGTTGTAGGAGGCCTTAAAGGCTAAAATCAAGTGTTTAAAAACAAAAACAAACTACCGTAATTTTCGGACTATAAGCCACGTCTTTTTCCCCATTTTTCGACCTTGCGGCTTATATAACAATGCGGCTTATCTGTGGACTTTTACAGCTAACGGCCACTAGGGTAATACCTAAATCTATGGGTTTTACCATCCACCATGTTGACGTCACATTTGCTTCAACACACAAGCGCGGGAATGCGGAGGTCCTCCGGAAGCAGACTTCTACCGCGAGCGGTACGAGACAGAACGACAGCGAGAAAGACGGACATCGCGAACGCAAGACAGTTTGTGTTAAACATAAAAAACCTGCGGCCTATAGTCTGGTGCGGCTTTTATTTGTACAAATCATGCAATTTAGCTTCTGTGGCTTCTATTCAGGTGTGGCTACTAGTCCGAAAGTTATGGTAGATAAAATATGGGGACAATTTTCCACGATAACTACTTATTTACTAGCCTCGGGAGACCATCCTGATCTCGCGAGCTTTCAAGGTTTCACTCGCAGATCAGTCTGGAGACTCTCCGTTAAAGAAAATGTGGAGCCGTTCACCAAACGAACGTCCAATCAGCGTTGGCTTTGAGGCGGGTTGAGGTGTGACGCAACGAGAAGCGCAACAGTTCAGTCTAAAGAACATGGCGGCTTCAGCCGATGAAACTAGCGTTAGCGTGGCTATCGAGCAAGTTTTATCGGAATTACAGAGTATTTCTTGACTGAAAGAAGAGCAAAACACTGCTCTGGAGGCTTTTCTCAGAGGAAAAGATGTTTTTGCTCTTCTCCCGACTGGTTTCGGCAAGAGTTTGATCTATCAATTGGCTCCTCTTCGTCGTCGCTCTGTTAGTACGTCATATGCTTCGTTGATCTGATTGGTTTATTTGGCCCGTCTATCACCAACATAGGCCAATCAGCTAACCAGTATTTTCGCCCCTTCCCAAAATTACTTCAACGAAAGGTTTCCAGATGGATACGCGGAGCAAATCCATCTGACGGAGTCAGGTTACTTATTTACATTATGTAATTAACACAGAAATAAATATGTAAATCCTTTTATTTCAATCAGAAAAATCCAGTCCAGTAAATCGAGGGAATGATGATCAATCAAAAACCTGCAGGTTGGGTGACGTCTTTCCCTGAAGGCCGGCCTCGCATATGAATATGGGACCCAATAGGATTATCAGACCAACCAACAGTATGATTTAAAAAAAGAGAGAGTATTTTAATGCAGTAAAAAAAAAGAGGAGTTTTTGGGATGACAAAAAAAATGCTATAATTCTGTCACTTAAAGTCGTAGGTAAATCATATATAAATGTCAAATCATTCTGGCTTAAACATGTATATAAATCTACTCTTTATCAGACCATATTGTCCCAAAATGTAGAAAATTTCAGTTTAAAAAAAAGAAATCCTTTCTTAAAATCTGTGTTTGTTTTTTCCTTATCTTATGCAGTTAGAAATAAAACCTCCTTTAAAACTTTAAAGCGAAAACTGAAAACTTTTCACCAGGAGCTGAGATCCTCAGGCTGCAGCTCTGAGGGCCGTTCTGCTGTAGATCTGGGCTAAATAGATCCCACGTAGCTTGGAAATATTTAAAATCTTTCCAGAGAACCTGCAGTTAGGAAAATGAGGCGAGTACGATACGGCCGACTGTTTATTTATGGAAATGGACGTGTAAAGAGTTCATAATAGCCGCCGGCTGCAAAACTAGTTAATCATCATCAAAATGTGTCGTCGTGTAAACTAAGGATAATGAAACTGCACCGGGTCTGGTGGTTCTGCTGCTTTTAGACCAGTTTCTGATGAAGAACCCCCAGAACCTGGCTGGCTGAGTTGGACCAGGATGGATCTAAACCAGAGGTCATGGATTAGCGGACCAACCTGATTTAAAACATTTATAAATAACCGCATGTTGTCCAACGACAGTGTCTAATTTCCCTTGCGCCGCTTCTCCTGTTAATATGGTAAAGCCCTGGGGAGCGTCCGGCTCCAGGCTGCACGTGATCCAAATGAGCCTGCTGGAAGAACTGCGGTGAACTGGTGAAAGAAAAGTGAAATGGCGTGCTCAAAGATGACCCTGCACATTTAGAGGATGTTTGGCTCAACCTGCTGCTGTGAAGCAGGATTCTCCACCATGAACAGAATCAACAATAAATCTGGATCCAGGCTCAAAATGAGCTCCTTGATATGTGCTTGAGAATGGCTTAGTCTCCGGTTAAACCCAGGTTTAAAGCCTTGCAGGGCAGCCTAAAGCCCACTGCCAACATTAAGACAGAAAAAAGAAAGAAAAAGGTCAGTTCAGGTGTTCAGGAAATTGTCTATATACCAAACTGAACGATTGTTGTTCTCTACTTGGAAAAAACACTTTAGATTTTAAAATGGAAAAATTTTCTAGTATTGTTTTTTTTTTTTTCTTTTTTTCCTTAATTTAAAAATTCAACATGGAACATGGATTAACATGGATGCATAAAAACCTCGGACCCCGCTGGTTTTTAATTGGTTACAGCTGATCTTCACCATGTAGGACTCCTGAATGTCCAACTGCTGCTGATGAAGTGAGGAAATGTTCACCTTCAGCTAGAAGCGGTTTGCTTTCCTTTAAATGTTTGGACCGAACCGACCCGAGTCTGCAGCTGCAACAGATCTATTCTAGAGGCAGCTCTTCTCTTTCTGCTTATTAAGATTAAATCATATATATATATACACTCACCGGCCACTTTATTAGGTACCCCATGCTAGTAACGGGTTGGACCCCCTTTTGCCTTCAGAACTGCCTCAATTCTTGGTGGCATAGATTCAACAAGGTGCTGGAAGCATTCCTCAGGGAGTTTGGTCCATATTGACATGATGGCATCACACAGTTGCCGCAGATTTGTCGGCTGCACATCCATGATGCGAATCTCCCGTTCCACCACATCCCAAAGATGCTCTATTGGATTGAGATCTGGTGACTGTGGAGGCCATTTGAGTACAGTGAACTCATTGTCATGTTCAAGAAACCAGTCTGAGATGATTCCAGCTTTATGACATGGCGCATTATCCTGCTGAAAGTAGCCATCAGAAGTTGGGTACATTGTGGTCATAAAGGGATGGACATGGTCAGCAACAATACTCAGGTAGGCTGTGGCGTTGCAACGATGCTCAATTGGTACCAAGGGGCCCAAAGAGTGCCAAGAAAATATTCCCCACACCATGACACCACCACCACCAGCCTGAACCGTTGATACAAGGCAGGATGGATCCATGCTTTCCTGTTGTAGACGCCAAATTCTGACCCTACCATCCGAATGTCGCAGCAGAAATCGAGACTCGTCAGACCAGGCAACGTTTTTCCAATCTTCTATTGTCCAATTTCCATGAGCTTGTGCAAATTAGCCTCAGTTTCCTGTTCTTAGCTGAAAGGAGTGGCACCCGGTGTGGTCTTCTGCTGCTGTAGCCCATCTGCCTCAAAGTTCGACGTACTGTGCGTTCAGAGATGCTCTTCTGCCCACCTTGGTTGTAACGGGTGGTTATTTGAGTCACTGTTGCCCTTCTATCAGCTCCAACCAGTCTGGCCATTCTCCTCTGACCTTTGGCATCAACAAGGCATTTCCGCCCACAGAACTGCCGCTCACTGGATGTTTTTTCTTTTTCAGACCATTCTCTGTAAACCCTAGAGATGGTTGTGCGTGAAAATCCCAGTAGATCAGCAGTTTCTGAAATACTCAGACCAGCCCTTCTGGCACCAACAATCATGCCACATTCAAAGTCACTCAAATCACCTTTCTTCCCCATACTGATGCTCGCTTTGAACTGCAGGAGATTGTCTTGACCATGTCTACATGCCTAAATGCACTGAGTTGCTGCCATGTGATTGGCTGCTTAGAAATTAAGTGTTAATGAGCAGTTGGACAGGTGTACCTAATAAAGTGGCCGGTGAGTGTATATATCTCCAATGACAATAAAATAAGTTTTGATAAATGTTGGAGCAGCGATGGGAGATTACTAGCCTGACGTAGTCCTACTCAATTCTAGTCAGAATGAGTCTGATGCTGCTCCATAGAGCTGTGATTATGGGGCGTGTTTCAAATGAACCAGAAAAAAAATGCCTCTGCACTCAACTGGATAGACCTACAACCAATAAGAGCAACGGAGTGCGTGACGTATGTTAAGCGACGCATAGTTGTCAACAAAAATCAAAGCGTGCAGTTGCACGCCTAGAATAAGAAGATGAGCCTTGATCGCGATTCTCTGTTCCTCTTTTAAAATTAATTTGCTGTCGATATCTTCTAGAACAGACCTAATAGCAGAATCTCCACACCTCAACTCTCCAGCGGCAGCCATTGTTGTTGTCACCCAAGCGCGCTTTGGTCACATGGTTGATTACGTTACTGTTGATCATCTGTCCATCATCCTATAAAGCCCGCCCTGATAATTTGATTGGCCCGCCAGATATTGTGCGAGCATACTCGCGCTACTGTTGAGCAATGCCAGACCGAACTTCCCGACCTCAAACGTTGTGGGCGGGACTAAGTTCGGAATGGCACCCAGGCTAGGAGATTCCAGCTTCTAGATTATTCTCTAGTCCAACACGCCTGGATCAAAGGACTGATCTGGATTAATTAGCAGATACTCACAAAAAACGGGACTCAGTTACTGAACAGATAAAATAATTAGTGAATTAAAATGTGGAAGAATTTGTACAACTTTCCTGGAGGATAAATTAAGAAATATAAGAATTTTGATCATTAATTAAAAGGTTAAAAGATCTCAAAACATTGAATACTGATCCAAAGCATTATGGTGTGAGGTTGGAAAATATTCATGTAGAAGTGATTTAAGAACAATAAAGATGTTTTATATTTTTAGCAGCCTTTAAAGGAAAAGTTTGGTCATCAAGGAATAAACAATGGATCATTATTTATATTTAAAATTAATACGTTTGCAGTGATTTAATACGGAAGAGGATTAAGGCCAATAAAAAAAAAAAAAGTTAACAGATTTTTACATATTATTTCAGTTTAAAATGGGGAAAAAAGTCAGAATTCTGACTTTTTTTCTTTTTTCAGTGGCTCTAATCCTATCTATTTTAAGAATTTAGCGATAATCAGTAAAAAAAATCAAAAGGGTCATTTTCCTTGCGATCGCTGAGTTTGGGATCGGCCAGTTTTGCCCGAATATAGTAACATGTTCAGGTTGACCTGAACGCCATTAATACTCGAGTACCTTTCCTGCGTCTTTCTTCGCTCCGTCGTAAAAAAAACAGCTTTTATCAGTTAAGGATTTTATCAAAAGTAAAAGTTTACCGCAGAGATCTGGAGACTAAAACGTGCTTTTATTATGAAAACCAGATTGGATCTGTGGGTTTTTTTCCCGTCATGTTATGCCAGGGTTTCCGCAGGTCATTAAAAATCATAAAAGTTACATTATTATTTAATTAAATTAAGGCCTTAACTGGCATTATGAGTCATTAAATGATGGAATTATCGTGGCATTTCAAATGCTTTATTTAAATAAAAAAAAATACTTTTATAAAAACAATATCATCTTAAAATGTTTTGTGCGGAAACGCTTCGAGGCGGGAAAAATGCAAAGTTAATCAAATACGGAAACTTGCACTATAAAGGGTTAATCAAGTCTAAATGGAAATCTGGAAAAGAAAAAAATCTACCTACATTTTCATTGAAATTCTAACTTATTTTATTCTATTTTATTTCATTGTGTTTATTTATTTTAGCTTTTCAGTTTTTACTTTATTTCCTGCAGCAGTTATATCTGTACGGCTCCAAATGTTGTTTTAAATGTGCTTATAAATAAAGTTTGAGTTGAAAAGAATCGAATAAAAAAGAAAAAAGGGAATTGTGTGAATGTCTGCAGTTTGAATGAAGCCAAATAGATTTGCGGGTTTTAGAGAACAGATCTGGTACCTGAGCGTCTCTCTGTCTCGGTGTTCCAGGTGCTGATGGAGGACAGGCAAACCAACCGGCTGCGAGAGTCGCTCAACATCTTCGAGACCATCGTCAACAACCGCGTCTTCGTCAACGTCTCCATCATCCTCTTCCTGAACAAGACGGACCTGCTGGAGGAGAAGGTGAAGCTGGTGCCGCTCAAAGACTACTTTCCCGAGTACAGCGGGCCGGAGCACAGCCTGCCCGACATCCAGGCCTTCATGGTGGAGTGCTTCCGCGCCAAGAGGCGCGACGCCACGCAGAAGCCGCTCTACCACCACTTCACCACCGCCATCAACACGGAGAACATCAGGCTGGTGTTCCGGGACGTCAAGGACACCATCCTCCACGACAACCTCAAGCAGCTCATGCTCCAATGACACACACGCCAAACCCGCCCCCCCGATCGACCCGCCGCAGCCTGCGAACGCCAGAGGACCTGAAGGAGGACGGACTCGGGAGATCAGAGACTTTGTGTTTTAGGCGGTTTTTACTCCTCCTGTTGTCGTAGCTCAGGATCTGATTACAGAGGCAGATATTTAGGCAAACTGTGGTATTAAACGTCAAAAAAACTGAAAAATCTAGAAATAAAAAAAAAGAGAGAAAGCGGACGAAGAACACGGATGAAATCTGATCACTGCTGCTTCATCCCGTTTCCATCCGCTCCACTTTATTTAGTGTTTGACTTGTTTTTCTTTCAACCATCAGGACGCCGGTGCTGGAACCAGTGGAAGGCAGATTAACTTATAAAAAAAAGCAACATTAACCGGTTAAAAGAGCGGAGGGTAACCATGGAGACGGCAGAGCACTGATTTCTAACCCAGACGGACGTCTCCTCCTCTTCTTCTTTATGTTGTTTTATTATCCAGCGAGCATTCAGAGTTAACCGTCTGAGTGTCTCCAGCACTGACGCGTCGCTCGTTGAACTCGGAGGGCGAAACCACCAGACTGAACCTTTATTACAGATAAACGTCCTTTTTTCCTGATTTCCTGGGACGTTACCTGCCGTTAGGGAGCCGCCGAATAAACATGCAGTCCTCTCGTTTCCTCAGGGTCGACGCGGAGGCGGCGTCCATGAGTTGAAAGGGTTGTTGGGAGGCGGCCTGACTCCGCCGCGCCGTTAGCTAGTCTGTTTTCATTTTTATTAGGACTGCATCCCCCTCGATTCCTCCCCGTCTGATTTTTATTCCTGATTCTCCGTGAAATGACCTTCACTCCTTTTTTTGTTCGGCCTTAAATCATGCATGTGTGTTAATAATTGTACAGGGATTTGCTCGCCATTGTTTGAATAAACTACCCGCTCTGTGAGAACTTCTTTATCGGCACTGAGTTTTTATGAGGAAAACAAAATTCAACGTTTCCCTTTTTTTTTTGGACTTCCTTTAAAAAAAAAAAAAAGCTTTGTGATTATTGCTGAAATCTGACAGAGGAGGAAAAGCTGCTGCAGATGAACGGTTTAGAGTGACTGTAAGGGGGGGGGGGGGGGGTCTGTTTTCCAAATAAATCCGGCGCTTTCTCCGGACTCTTCCTAATTCTTCCTCTTCGTTATTCGCCGCCTTCTTTCCTCGGCAGGAGGACCGCTTCCATTCCTGGCTTTGTAAATACTGTAATCTGTTTTTCCTGTAAATATTATTCAGGTTTATCTTCTTTTATGTAAATGGTTGTAGAAATTACCTTTTTTTTTCATGCTGGATACTCTTCAAATCACTGCATCTTTCCAGTGAAGATGACCTTTATGATGTAGATTTTATTTTGTAATTTTTTTCATCACCTTTTTTTTTTCAAATTTATGTCAAATCCCATGCTACTCTAACCCTATCAATAAAATCCACTTTTCTAATGATACTGATAATTATGCCCCATTTGCTGCCTGTTATCAAGCCTGCGTGTTTGTTTTAGTGATTTTAGGTCTGAAACAATCAGATTAATTAATAATTGAAATAATCGTTAACTCATTTAGTAATCGATTAATCGTTAACTGGAGTATAGAGACTGTAAAATGTGCCTTAAGATGACAGAGCGACACACTTAGAGCAGGAATTATACCAAATTTGTTTAAAAAATATATAAATTTTTGCATTTTAGTTAAAAAAAAACTTGTTCATTTGTCAATCTGTTTATCCAGAAATCCTTAAGCGGAAAAGTTTTGGTTTCAACTGGTTTAAATCAGTAAAAATCTATTTTTAAGGAACCTTTTGCTATCTGATTATTACCCAATTAATTTAGAAATTAATTGACAGATTAATCAATTTGCAAAATAACTGTTAGTTTTAGCCCCAAGTGATTTAAAAAAAAAATGTTTTTTTATGATTTTAAAGTCCGTAAACAAAGGTGTTTGTCTCATTTGGTGTTTTTGTAGCATATCAGAAACTTAAAAAGCGTTTTAAATTAAGGAAACCTTTTGCTATCCGATTATTAATCAATTAATTTAGAAAATAATCGTTAGTTTCAGCCAAAAGTGATTTAAAAAAATGTTTTTTTTATGATTTTAGAGCAGGAATTATACCAAAATGAGTTAAAATACATAAACATTTTGCATGTCAATCTGTTCTATCCAGAGCTCTATATAGAAAAGTTTTGGTTTCACCCGATTTAAACCGGTAAAAAATCGTTTTAAGGAACCTTTTGCTATCCGATTATAATCAATTAATTTACAAAATAATTGACAGATTAATCGATTTGCAAAATAGTCGTTAGTTGCAGCCTTAAATGATTTAAAAAATTTATTTTATGATTTTAAAGTCTTCAAACACCAGGTTGTTTAATGGAATTAAATGCATTTAATTAACATTTTCTACATGTTTTCCTAATTTAGACATGTTACTCATTTTATTAATCTCCATTACTTAATGACCGGTGAAGCTAAAAAGCCTTACATCAGAAATAAATCAGAATCTTGGTAAGATATGGTCCATCCAGTTGCAAAAGACATCAGTAAGCTTCGATTTATTTTTTATTGTAAAAACTAACTCAGATTTAATCAATTAACCGAGTTTATCAGCCAATTTCTGTGCAGCCATGAGATAATTTGGTCTCCTGATTACCGGCGGTAACGTTTAAACCTGCACTCGTCTTAAACATTAACCATGCTGGCTCTTCATTAAGAGGTTAATAATAATAATGCACATTTTCTGTGGGAATATTGCACCTTAATTAAAGGTCTGTGTGAAACGTCCAAAAAGAAATGCAAACTAACAAAATGAGTCATTAGGAAATGAGCCAAACGAAGCTGATGGCAGAAATAAATCAGCTTCTCTGAAAACTGTAGATGACTAAAAACTGGGCAGGAGGACATGATGATGCAAGTCATTCAATGGAAAGAAGCGTTTCTCTTTCCATTAGAGTAAAGTAACGTTCATTTTTACTCATATAGTCGCAGTGAAAGCGCTATCAGGCCAGGAAGCCTGCATCATTAACCCTCCACCACTTTGCTTTACAGCTATAACCTGATATGTTCACCAAACCCGTCTCCTTCTATTATAGCCTGTTAATCTTCATTTATTAAAAAAAAAAAATTGACTGATTTTTAAATTTTATTTCAGTTTAACATGGGAAAAAAGTCAGAATTCTGACTTTTTTCTCAGAATTCTGACTTTAATCTCAGAAACTTTTTTTTTCCAGTGGCCCTAATCCTCTTCCGTAGAATTCTGACTGAATTCTGACAATAAAAAAGTCAGAATTCTTAGAAAAAAGTCAGAATTCTGACTTTTTTCCCATACTATACTGAAATAAAATTTAAAAAAAAATAACTTTTTTTTTTTCAGTGACCCTAATTCTCTTCCGTATAATTCAGTCTAGTTTTATAGAAAATAAAATTATAATTATGTGGAGTATTCCCATACACTAACACAAAGAGAAATTGGGATTACAACTTGTTTTTTTCCTGACGGCAAAAAAACTAAATAAAAACCTTTTAAATTAAATGAAAATATTTTTTTTCTAACCTAAAGAACCTCTACAAACTATGAAATACAGGTTTTCTATAACATCAGCTGTCCAGTCAGAGGAAAATGGGGATATAAAAGCTCCATATTTTGACTACATTTACTCACATTTATAAGTTATTTATGAAGGTAATGAAAAAAGACTAAAATATATCATCTGTTAATATATATATCTGCTGGAGGTTTCTTCCTGTTCAAAGGGAGTTTTTCCTCTCCATTGTCGCTACAAGCATGCTTAGTGTGAGGGATTGCTGAAGAGTCAATGAGTCGATGCAATCAGCTGGTTTTCCTTAGATAGAAAACTTTGAATCAATCTGACTGGATGATCTGGTGAACTGGAAAGTGACCTGAGATGACATGATGGGAATTGGAGCTATAGAAATAAACTGAATAGAATTGAATTTAAAGATTTCTGCATTTGGCTGCAGTTTCCACTCTTAAACTGTGTAACATAAGTAGTTAGGGTGTAACAAAAACACAGCTACTCAACTTTGTATTTCTTACATTGTGACGGTAAATATTGTATTTTTTTCCAACTGTACATTATATCAGCCTATTTATTTATTTATTTATTTATTTATTTATTTATTTATGTACTCAATACTTAAACTCTTTTCCTAAGAGAGGATGTACTTACTTAGTATATTTATTTTTCTGGGGCGCTTTTTTTCCCCACAGCAGCTTCCAGTGGTGATGTAAAAAAAGAAGAACAGTTGTTGATAGTAAAGTGTTTCGTTTTGGTGGAATAGAAATCGGAAACCGATTAATCAAACGATGACATCATAAAGCGGTTCTGCGTATTTTGGGGGTTTTGGGGGATTTACACATAAACGGAAGTAGGAAGTAGGAATCATCTCATCTCAAACCACAGGTAAATATTGTCATACTTTCAGGTTCAAACTAGTTTTTTTTTCTGTTTCCTCTTTTCTACCATAGAACAAGCAGCAGAAGCAATGCGTCGCAGCGTCTGCCATATTGTAAGGGGCAAGAATAAAACCAAATTAACTTTGATATAAAAAAAACTTGGTTATTATAAAACAAAAATCACAGGACAGAATAATTACCTGCAGTTAAAAACGCAACAGAAAGAGAGCATGCTCTGGATTTAATCTAAATTAACCTTTCAAAATAAATCACACAATTGTAATTATTATATTTAGTTTTCATCTAAAAAACTAAAACATATTTTAGCTCTAATCGGAGCGAAACCCCTTAATCAAATGATTATTTACTAGTAATAATAATGATAACATACAGTTTTACTGTCTAAGATAAATAACTTTTATTCCTTTATTTAATCCAGCTGCACATGTTTTAATTAGAATTAAATTAGATTGCTTCCCTTTTAGATCCAGAATAAAAGTCAAGATTTTCCTTGTAGCTCTTAAAGCTCCTAATGATAAAGGTTCATCATACATGAAGTTTGATTACAGATCTGATTGATTCATTTGATCCAAACTAAACACCCTGAACAATGGAGGACAGATTTCTAGTTAAGTTTTTAACCTTAAGACAGAGACACCTGTACCTCTAAGGATGGGCTTTAATTTTTATTTATTTGATAAAGCTTAAATAGCCGTGGTTATTCTGCGCTCTAGTCCTGCTTCTGTAGGATTAGAGCGCTGGAGGACATACTGATCATTTTTCTTCCATCTGCTTCGTATCAAAAATAATACTTTTCCTTATCAGTTTGACATTTAATGGGGAGTGTTGGCATAGTGAGATAGAGCAGTGGGCTTATTCTCTGAGGAGGTTGCAAATACCCGGTTCGATGCCTACAGCCTCCACTTTGGGTCCCTGAGCAAGACCCTTAACCCCACACTGCTCCCTGAGCGCCGCACAATGGCAGCCAGCTGCTTCCCCAAGGGGATGGGTTAAATGCAGAAAGGGAATTTCTCAACTGTGGGACACATTTTTTGTTTTTGTTTAAAAATTATGGTTGTAAAAATGATAAAGATTATGATGAAAATTAGGATGAAAAATACAATATGATTTGTATAATGTGTGGGCTAAGGTAGGTAATGTAATTAGTTGAATTGATGTATAAAAACAAGATTCAAGAGTTTGAAAAAACAACACCTTAAATATGTTTTTTTAATCAAACCTTAATATTAAAAATACTGTTTTTTAATATAACTACAAAAAAATAAGTGTTATTGATTCTCAGGACTCTCTTATGATTGCAATGATGCTAGTTTATTTACTGTTGTGCTTACAGGATTTCCCATGAAAGAAAATGATAAATTCACCCCAGTAATAAAAAACAAACAAACAGCTGCAGAAATCAAACTGAACATTTCCTGAACATTGCAGAAAACAATTAGTGATTGCCTCAAAGAACAATATTTTAGTTCAGCACCTCCACCACCAGGTTTATCGACTTAAATAGACTGAAGAGAATAAAAATAAAGATTTCAAATAAGAGGATTATAT